CATCCAGTTTTGGGCCCCACAATTCAAAAAGGATGTGGAGAAGCTTGAGAGGGTGCAGAGAGCCACGTGCATGATCAGAGGGCAGGAAAACAGACCTTATGATGAGAGGCTGAGAGCAATGGGACTATTCAGCCTGGAAAAGCGCAGGCTCAGGTGTGATCTGGTGGCCACCTATAAGCTTATCAGGGGTGCTCATCAGGATCTGGAGGAACGACTGTTCACCAGAGCCCCCCAAGAGACGACAAGATCGAATGATCACAAACTCCACTGTGACCTATTCAGGCTGGACATGAGAAAGAACTTTTTCACTGTCTGAGCCCCCAAGGTTTGGAATAGACTGCCACCGGAGGCGGTTCAAACACCCACTTTGAACGCCTTAAGACACATTTGGATGCTTATCTTGCTGGGATCCTATGATCCCTGCTGACTTCCTGCCCCCCAACCCCTCTCCCAGTGCTGCTGACGTGTGCTGAGTGCAGGCCTGGTGAGAACAGCCTGGTGCAGCCTTCCAGCCTGCAGCTGCAGCCTGCCATCCCCCACATCTGCCAGCCCCTGGCCCCCACGTCCTCAGGGGGAAGGGGAGGCTGTGCTGGGCTGTTCTCACTGGACTTGGCCTGCATTATGCTTGGTGGCAGTGCTGGGAGCAATTACTGGGGGGACTACTGCCCCCCTGTGGCCCTGTTCCCAGTGCCGCTGCTGCAGCTGCAGCCACCCAGCTTGAGCACAGCTCGGCCAGGAAGAGCCCGGCACTGCCCTGGCCCCAGCCTCAGCCTGCCCCACCCCACCCTGTGGGCAGATCTGGAGTGCTTTCCTGGGCTGTGTGGCCCCCTCCCCCAGATGAGCCGTGAGTGGCTCCATGCCCTGCCCCATCCTGGCTGCCACTGGGGGCTGGGTTTTGTGCCCACTGCATGTCCCCCTGGGCCTCTGCCCCTTACCTCCCCAGCTGACTGACCTGCTGGACTTGTCAGGGGGTGGCGCACATGTGTTCAGCCCTGGCAGCCCAGGATTGACTTCAAGAGGCTCTGGGACCCACCAGTCAATCCCGATCAACCGACTGGTGAACACTGGCACTGGCCTATAACAACACTGTGAAAATCTTATATCTATAATAATGCAATGCAGTAGTAAGGACTAAGTATGGAACTGAAAGTGTAAGGTTTCTGTTTTACATAATTCCTACATAATTCAGTCAAACCCATTTCACAATAACAAGGCTCAACAGAAGTGGAGTCACTCACCACCAATAGGGACTGAAGGTAATTTAGCCAGATGCTTATGCTCTTCAGATTCCAGATTCCATACTATTATCTCAGTGGTGCTGGTGTTTGGGATACAGCTGAATGCCACAAGATGGGATCCCAGGTGATTAATGAAGTAGGTGGAAATAAAGTCACTGCAGCAACCCTTCAGTGTGTGAGTGTAGACAAAGGTACCAACACTGAAGAGTTCTATATGAACAATATCCCGCTGTCCCATGAAGGGGCATCTACAGAAAATGAAGGAGATGTACAGAAACTGGTTTAAAATAAATACTAAACCAAGACTGAGTAGTATCCCATCAGAAAGGTATTTTACAAAGGCAGCAAGCAAGATATAAATGAAAAGGTACCACATCCACTATGAAAAATATTGAAAAATATTGAGGAATGCTATTTTCTACACAACCTCTACCTGAATATGACAAGGAAGTATTCCTTAGTTATGGCTACTCCTTCAACTGCAACTCCTGGTTCTTGACTTGTAAGTTTAGCAGTCACCTGTCCCTTTTTGGCACTGAACACCATAGCTTCTTTTCCACTCCTGTCAAGAGAAGAACAAATGAAACTAGAGATTCTATGTCACCATTCTCACTTTGCCAAACCACTAGGCACAGTATGATGGCTAGAAAATGGTATTTAGAGGTTTACTTTTAGGAACTAACTTGTAGGTAAAGTAGATATTCATTAGAACAATGGTCCAGGGGAACAGCAAGGGTGAATTGGTTTCAAAAAGCCTGTTTGGGACAGTTTCCTTCAAGGCCCACTGTGTCTGAAGCCAGAAGACACACTGGTTGGGAAATTGAAGACATGTACCACACTGTTCCATAATATGAACAGTATACCCAAACAGAGATAAGTGATTCTGCAGCATTGGTGCCAGGTCACAATGCCCAACTGCAGAGCCCTTCGGATTTCCAGCTTTGGTGGACAGACCAAATTAGGAGAAACCAGTAAATAAGCAAATTAAGATGTGTGCATGTGATGGGTTTGTGAAACAAGGAATAAGCTGACAGAACAAAATGTAGACTGTATTATGACCACAGGGAAACATATCAATGATGCCGAGGAATGAAGAGTCATCAAAGGGAGATAAAGAATACAAACGGAGGGATTTCAGAGCAGCAAAAGGCCCCAAGAAGGGAATCCAAGGCCACCATGAACAAAAGACACACCACCAAAACATCTTACCCACCCCACTATGGGAGTGGGCCTTGGCCCTCACTCTCCAGGCTGCTGACATCTGATATTCAAGATAAAACCTCAAGGTGAAGCTTGAGTACTGGCCAGACATATCTTCCCTCTGTGACAGTTCTAGGATTGGTATATATAGACTCTGCTTGCCTTTCCTGCATTATTCTTATTTGCTATCACTGTCAATAAAATTTGCCTGTTATCAAATGGAGAAGTCACGGTCAGTCTGAGGGTTTGGGTCTGCTCAGAACAAGGTATCTGGGTCATAAATTCAGTGCCAACAAGTCCACAGACAGAAGCCAAACCCACAAAAAGCAAACCCTGCAAATGCTGCCCTACACTTTGGACAGAACAATTAAATACACAAATACAAATTGGGGAATAAGAGCCTAGGGGTTAAAGTGGACAGAAAGCTGAATGTGAATCAATAATGTGCTCTTGCTGCAAAACACTCAATAGCATACTAGATTGTATTACTGGAGTGTATTAACAGGAGTGCTGCCTGCAAGTCAAGGGAAATGACTCACAACTGGTGAAGTCTTACTTTAAGTACGGTGCTTAGTTTTGGGCACAATACTTCAAGACAGACATAAACAGATTGGAAAAAGTCCAGCAGAATGCAACAAAAAGTGATCAGAGGTCTAGAAAACATGACTTATGAGAAGAGGATGGAAGAACTGGGATAGTCTAGAAAAAGAAGATTGAAAAGAAATTTGATAACATGCTTCAAATCCTCAAAAGGCATTCATAAAGAGGATGGAGATAGACTATTTTCTGTAGCCTCAAAGGATAAGTAACAGTTTTAAATTGCAACAAGGGAAATTTAGGTTGGCTATTAGGAACTACTTTTTCATTAGGTATCGGTTAATGCATTGGGACAGATCACTTAGAGAGGTTATAGAATTTCTATCCTTGGAAGTTTCTAAGAGCATGTTAGACAAACAATTGACTGGGACAGTTTTGACAGGGGTAATTTGGCCTTGAGCAGAGGGTTAGACTAGATGACCCTCTATATTTTCTACGATTCATTAGATTTCGTATACAACCCATAAGAATAACCCTGTCAAAATGCCATAACTACAGCTTTCCTGCCTTATTCTGTGCTGTGCTATTTGAGTTTCACTATGGTTATATTTTAGCGAAATATACTGAGAGATATTGGTATAGCTTTACCTCATTTCCTTAGAAAACCTATCATTTTTCAATTAACAAAATATTTACATAGACTGAAATTAGCTATGAAACTTCTGATTGGCCAAAACACTGCTGTGCTGCGTAAGCACAAATTTACTTCTCAGAAGCATGAGCTCTTTTCCTAGTTTTCAGTTTGGTATTCAATCTGACCAAATATTTGTGAGTCTGTATTTTATATTTGTGTTACCACATGTATTTGATGAACACACTGTGCCATTAAACACAGCAATGTAGATTATTACACAGTCCAGTGGGTAGAAAATCGGCTTGGGGGACGCACCCAGAGAGTGGTGGTGGATGGGTCATTTTCTACCTGGAGTAACGTGGGCAGCGGAGTCCCCCAAGGCTCTGTCCTGGGACCGGTACTATTCAATATCTTCATTAGTGACTTGGATAGGGGAGTAGAAAGCACCCTGTCCAAGTTTGCTGATGACACCAAACTATGGGGGGAGGTACACAAACTAGACAGCAGGGAGCGAATCTAGGCTGATTTGGACAGGCTGGGGAAATGGGCTGAACAGGATAGGATGCAGTTTAATTAGGATAAGTGTCCTGTGTTGCATCTGGGGAGGAAGAATCATCAACACTCCTACAGCCTGGGAGGAAGAATCATCAACACTCCTACAGCCTGGGAGGTACCACTCTAAGTAGCACAACTGCGGAAAGGGATCTTGGAGTCGAAGTCAACTCCAAAATGAACACAAGTCACCAGTGTGATGAGGTAATAAGTAAAGCTAACCGCACCCTTTCTTGCATAAGTAGGGGCATTGCAAACAGGTCTAGGGAGGTGATACTTCCCCTCTATGCAGCATTGGTCAGGCCGCTGCTGGAGTACTGCATCCAGTTTTGGGCGCCGCACTTCGGGAGGGATGTGGATGGCCTGGAGAAGGTTCAGAGGAGGGCCACTCATCTGGTTAAAGGCCTACAGAAAAAACCCTATGTGGACTGATTGGGAGACCTGAACCTCTTCAGCCTCCACAAGAGGAGGCTGAGAGGTGATCTTGTGGCCACCTACAAACTCACTGGGGGGGCCAGCAAGAAATAGGGGATACAATGTTTACCAGGGTGCCTGTCGGGGTAACTAGAAATAATGGCCACAAACTGGAAGAGAGCAAATTCAGATTGGACATCAGGAAAAAATTCTTTACAGTGAGGGTTGCCAAAATATGGAATAAGCTTCTAAGGGAGGTGGTGCTGTCCCTTTCCAGGGAAGTGTTTAAAAGGAGATTGGACAGAAATCTGGCTGAGGTCATCTGACCCCAGTACTCATTCCTGGCCAGGGCAGGGGGTCAGACTTGATGATCTAATAGGTCCCTTCCGACCCAAACGTCTATGAAATTATGAAACTATAAACCAAAAGAACATATATTTTCTCACACAGACAATTTGCCTATTTCAAGTTATATTTGTGTTAGGGGAAGGGAAGGTATAATGAGAGAGGTCATAACTACAACAGATTCCTTTTAGCTTAATGCCCAGTTACAATGCAGACTGTTTAATGACAATACAAGTCTAAGGAAAACAGGAGCAGACAGGACTGAAGCAGAACTGCAGTGATAGAAAGGCTGGGCAGGACAGCTGAATTTGAAGGGGGACTTCATTTGTTCATGGACTTGTGGTAAAACAGTTTCTACTAACCTGTAAGCACAGAGGACACAGTCCTTCACTGAATTCTTTGATACCAGTATGGAGTGATCCTTGTGTACAGGGGCATCATCTTCTGCAGAAATGTGTGCTTCATGGAGCAGCTGGCATGAATCAGTCAAATCAAACACCTAGAACCAGACAGTAGCTTAATGTACAGGTTCATGGACATAGCTGCCCTTGCTTATCACCCTCCTTTGCTTCCCTTTTTTGGGCCTTAGAACAATATCTGAAGCAAGTGACATTTGAGGAGATAGGGAAGAAGTAAAGGAGAAAAATTAGATGCTTGCAAGACCATGCAACAGTCAAGAAGGAAGAGCTTCAAACAGTAAATAGGCAGAAACTGAAACAAAATGGGAAGAAACACAAAGTGAGAAACTGCCAGAAGTAATTGAGAGAGGAGGGGAAAGAAATACACAAAATCCAGAGAGAAAGAGGATCACAAATTAGTTTACTTAAATGGCAGCTCAGAGAAGTTCATATATACCATATCAGTGGTTCTTAAACTTTTTTTTTGTGGACCACCTGAAAATTGCCGAGGGCCTTGGTGGACCACTTAAACTTTTTTTTGTTCTACAAATCAAAGCACACAACTCATATTTTAATACCAGTAGTCTTACCTTTCTAATGCAATGGATGTGCCTGTTTTTTTGAGCAAAGTTCTGGGAAGTTGGGTGTAGTGTTTCTCAGCTTTAGCCTTAGGTCACCTTTCTGTGGACCACCTGAATGGAGCTTGCGGACCACAGTTTGAGCACGTCTGTGCTCCAAATCAAGGTTTTCTTTTCCCCATTCAAGATGGGGAAAAAGCCTCAACTTGGATTAGAGTATGGCTTGGGGCAGAGACAGGGGTCAGCTCCAGTTCCAACAGGGGCCCAGGGTCTGGGGTCCCGGCTGGAGCCAGAACTACCACTGTTGCCTGGGATCAACAGCTTTGGAGTTAGCAGTAGCTGTGGTGGGTCGGGAGCCAGTGGTGTGGGTCAGGGAGCAGGTACCAACACAGATCAGGAAGTGGGCAGGGGGGCAAGTGATGGGGGAGGGGCAGGGGACAGGTGGCAGGGGCACAAATAGGGGGCTAGTGGTGATGGGGGGGCACAGCGTTGAGGGTCAGACTGCCTGCCCCCTCACACCACTTGCATCTTTCTACCTGCCCCCCCACTACTGTTCTCCCTGCCATTTGCCCCCACTGCTGATGCTTCCCATGTTGCAGAAGCTAAGGGAACGCATTTAATATGACCCTCCAATAATTAGATGCTATACATGGAACATTATCACAAATTTATAATTTTCCATGTATAGCATCTAATTATTGCGGGGTATCTTTAATTCAAAGTCATCTTGGATTTGGGTTAACCTTCCTCCCAAAAGGCTATGGTTTTCTCCTCTTCACTTTCCAGTCATTAAAAACCCTGCAGTACATTTCAGTAATTGTTCAGGACACTGAACATCATAATTATTAATTTAACACCAACTAGTTAGTCTCCTTTTCTGGTGGGTTATTTTCCAGTGACACGTTATCATTGAAAATCTTCTTTGGGTAGAAATAGTCTGAGAAGATCTACTCACTCTATCTTTAAACTGGGGGTCTTAATTGGATTAATTGTTAAACTAAATAAAGAAATGTCAGCCTCCCTGAAATATTGAAATATGGAGACCATCCATAAGATTCTATTAGATGGGATTAAATATTAATGAGAGTTATTAAAGTCTCATTCTTCAGGACAAAGGGTAACTATTAGCTGAAGATGTTTAAGAAGAATAGTATCCCATGAGCAAATTATTTTGAGTTGGGGGGTGGGGGCGAGGGAAGTCAGGGAGTGGAGGAGGGAATTTGGGGGATTTCTGCACCTTCCTCTAAGGTATCTGTCAGTGGCCACAGTTACATAGGTTATTGGCCTGGTTATTGGCCTGGAAGAATAATTATTCTGAAGTGAGAATTGGCACATTATCACATGCAACAATATTGAATTCTATGACAAATTTTGAAGGTCTGTTCAGCTAACTGTTTCCCTATGATCACAGTTGTGATAGAAAGTATATATAGCTGCTGTCTGGGTAAGTCACTTAACCTCTCTGTCTTAGTTTCTCCTACTTAATAGGGATAGGAGAGATTAATTGACTAATGAGTTTACAGCGCATCAAGGATGAAAAGTGCCATAATAATACTAAGTATGCTAATATTTACCTGAGCCTACAAGGTACTTGTTCAGAAAAACCTACCAGCACAGAACCCTGCTCATCTCAAATGTATTTTTCTGAATTACTGTGTTTTACAGGTTTTCCCATTACATTAATATTATCTAGCTCTCTCTCCACCAATCTTTCCTTTCCACATCACTTTATGCTCATATTTGTAACTTGAAAAAGGTACATAGCCCAGTGCTTGCAGGACAGCATAAGTTCTAATTATGCGTACACGTTTTCAGCACCACATTCATATTGTCTGCTGACATGTATGTCCTGAAAAAATAATACAGCTATTCAGAATGCCAACAAGTTTTTACAGGAGCTCCAGTGTGTCTTCTTAAAATGCTGTCATCCTCCTATTCCAGGATACATATTAACACTCAGTCACACGTCTAAGTTTAATATATATTTGGATACTCTTTAAAAATTATAATTCACCCATTTTAATGTTCAGGTGATCTTTTTATTTTGAGCCAATTAAAAGAGCATAAAATGTATGCATGCACTCAACCTCACTGATATGCTATTTTAAATGTTTAAGGCTATTTATTATTATATGAATAAATACCTCTGTAAAATGCCAGTTCTGTTACTGAAAACCAAGTTGTCCTTATCATTCGTTCAGAGAACATTAAAAAAAAAATCTCACCTTGACTCGCAGGCTTCCATCAAAAAAGACCAAAAGGAATTGCCCATTCATTGCAGATGTCAATATTGGAGTGTCTGGAAAACCATCAGCTTTATAGATCACTTTTCCCAGGGAAAGATCCCAGATTTTAAAGGAGTTGTTTTCAGTCACTGCAACCAGCCTATTCTCTTGGCACACAGTAATAGAGTCAATGTTCTTCCCAGCACCACGCAAAGTGAAGGTGGCTTTGCCAGTGTTCAAATCCCAGTATTTCACAGTGCCATCCTGAGATGCTGTCACAACCATGAGATCCTTCTGGGTTTCTGCAACTGCTGTGATCTTGTCCATATGACCTAGGAGTTCATGGAAGTGCAAATTCTAAATGACTTACATAATAGTCCAAATTAAATTTGGTCACTTTTTGTAATTACATATTACTGTCTGCTTCCAGTACATTTAGTCTTGATGACATTGATATTTCTGTCTTTTTTCAGGTTTCCTCAAGGGTTTCTACCATAATGTATTCTAGACAGGAACACTATAATTAATTCAATACTTTATAACAGAGAAATCAATTACTCAGAATTCAGGAAATGCAGAGGTAAGCCTAAAATATGTATTAAATTTGGCCTTCTCTTCATATTATTATTAGTATTATGTATTTTTCACTTAATACAAAATATAAATATAATGTCAAGTGGATAAAAAACACCAAACTGAAACAACCTACGGATCCACATATACAAGCAGTTACAAGCTCACAGTTTAGATAACCTTAGTCTTTCTCCAACCTGCATCAAATTTTCCTAAGCAACCTTTTTCCTTCTCTTTCTTTTTGTCTTCCAATTTTAAATGTAAACTGTCCTTACTTCAGAAATACTCAAGCACCTGTGTTCAAACCAGGCTTATTGCTTAGCATTCGGTATAATCTACAACTTAATCATGTGGTTTTTAACTTGCTGTTGTCAGTCACTTTTGAGTTAGTAAGGTGCAGCTTCTGATTGGAAAATGATGGGAAAAGGTTGTGGGGAAAGTATACTTTCTCCAGGAGTGCATTTTGCAGACTTGGAATAATGGTTTTATTTTTTTTTAATTTTTTCACAAGAACTCCCCCTTTGGTCAGAGACCACGCATAGTCCCCAAGAAACTTCAACTCAAGAGGAACTTTGAGTGTAAGACAGTTGTGAACAGTTAACAAAGGAGACTAGGTTAAAACTGGGACACCATAAATTCATTATTTTATATCAACAATACAACAGTAAAACTAGCCATGTTAGTCTGAAGTCAGACAGAAGGCAGGGCAAAGTGGCACCTTTGAGACTAATTTTTTTTGTACTTTAAACAGATAAAGCTGTCAGATCCTAATTTGGATCTTTTCTTTTAAGCACAAGATAAAACGAGTTGGAGGCATCTGTTATGGGACTTGGGCATTGTGAAGCTGAGTGCTGTTAGGCCCAGTTGTTAGGCCACTGGAGTGGAATCAACAGCCCTGGGTGAGAACCGATAATTAGTTCTGTAGAGAAGCAATGCCACACAGATTCAGTTAGCTTTTGTTGTTAAAAATTATTTACCTCAAGAACTAAGGAATCATGAAACTTAGGTCATGGTCAGAACCAATTTCATAGCATTCTAAGTTTCCTGCATAATCATTTTTTGTCTCCCCTTAGTTCAGATCTGTCACTTTATACCCATTTTTGTGCAGATTGAGAGGTATGCTACTCAGA